ATAAATTAGTATAATTTTGTAAGTAAACCATTTAAAAAGAAAATGAATTATTTAATAAAAATTTAAATAAATTTGAATAGATTTTCAAAATTACACAAGTACAATAAATTTGTCAAAATTTTCATAAAATTACATTTTTTAATATTAAAGACAATAGTGTACTTTTAGAAATTTACCATGTGGTTGATATTCAATATATCTTTTTAATCATTTCTATCTTTAAATTGAATATTGGGTTGACGGGGAGTCGGGACAGTGTTTTCAAGACTTGATCAAACCAGATGGTTAGACCAAAAAATTGGGAACTAGACATCGTTTCACCTCAAAACCGCTTTTTGTCCAAAAACCATTTATTTGGTTAGCGAACCGCTGACATGGGCGGTTGAACCATTAACCCGGACAACAGTTTTTTGCCTTTTTTTGTTTTTCTAATTTTTTATTTATTTTTTTGCCAGAGTGGGTCATCCATTCGACAAATAGACCGTTCAACCCTAGAACGGTTCTCTATTTGGTCCAATTTTAAAAACCTTGGACAGGGAGTGGGTACCTTGCCTTGAGGTTGGCTAGGTGTGTGGCACGGCCTGGCCCATGGACTAGCTTGACCCACGGCATGGCATGGGTTCATGCGGGATCGAGCCATGGGCCATGCCAAACCGATCCCCCAAATTATCCTAGAAGAGGGAGGCACGACCCGAGATGCCTCGTGGGCCAGCACGACATGACTCGCACTTTGTGTGGGCCACATGCAGGTCGTGTCGTGCTAACCCAACATGACCCAATTTACACCTCTATTTGAACCTGCCCAATACTGGGAACGGGGTAGGGAAATTCGAGGATTCTCCATCCTTGATGAGGAGTGGTTACCTTGCTCTGAACTTGCGTGTCACTAGGGACGGAGTAGGAATGAGATAGAGTGTCTTGACAATGGGGCAGGGGAAGGGATGGGGTGCCCGACCTGCCCTGAACCCACCCCGTTGTCATTCCTATATAATTGTTAATTATTAATGAAATTAATAAAAATATTAGCTTTTATAATTATTTTTATTTATTTTAAAATTAATCAAAATTTTATATAAAAATAATAAAAAGAACAAAACTTATTAAAATTACTACAAATTATTAATAAAACTAAATTTATTAAAAAATACTTATTTATATTCAATTAATACTAATTATTTTTTATAAAACAACATTAAATAAAAAATAAAATTATTAAATCTTTCAGATTTTACTGTGCACCGCACGGATCCTGTTAGTACATAAATAAAAAATGAACTCAAATGAGGTAATGCATTATATGCAGGAAGCTTCGAAACAGTATAAGCCGTCTTTTCCGAAGTGCCAAAAATAAGAGGTGGGAAACCTGGGTGCACTGAGGCCCACGTAGAACTGTGAAGCCCTAATTAGGATCTCCTTCCAACACTCTACCAACGTAATGATCTACACCACACATCTTATATACGGGGGGTTAAGGTGTTGGAATGTGCTTTGATCTTACAGCGCACATCATGATTCATGAAACTGGGAAATGGGACCCGCCACCAGATCATTGTTAGTAGGTGTTGGAACGTATTGTGTTTGTAGGAGATACGGGACCCATCTGACGACGGATCTCGTCATCCCGATACTTGAAAGAGGAGATAGGTAAGTGGGCCTAACCCCGTCACAAGTCCATTGTGTATCCGGGCCCAACCCAACATTCAAATTCTAAAACAGAGGGAAGGGCGGGCAGATGCCGTGCTGTTACGGTTCAGCACAGGCTTAGCCTTGCCTACGCTTGGCAGGCTTACGTTAGGGACATGCCCGTCATTTTCGCYTGTAAGATTTTTGGGAGAACTGATGTCATCTTCAGGCAGACCACCAGAAGCTTAACGTACTCTTTGAGGAGGGGTGGTCGACCTCCTTGGGTGCCTAACCTTGGCACT